ATTTCTTTTTTTCTTCATTTCTTGTATCTTATTAATTTCCAATAATATTATCTTTAAGCGAATTAATACTTTTACACATATGAATATCGGTTATTTTACATTATTTGTAGTTTATATGTTTTTAAACCTTTGATGATGAAGACTTTCAATCGTCACTTTCTAATATATTTTAATTTTAATTAATTTGAACAAAGTCATTCATACAAAATGAATGGGAAACTTTAGAAAGAATGATTTGTAAATGACATCATTAGAAATTGATTCTTAGACTTGAAATAACTGGACAATGTGTACAATTAAATAACATTAGAAGTAGAATACATTTATTTATTGTGCTGTCGTCAACTAAAGCTATTAATAGGAACTTATAGGAACATATATGAACTTATAGGAACTTATAGGAACATCATTTTTTTTTGTTTTATACAATTTTTCTTCAAATTTACATGACATTTTAATACACATTTACTAAATTTATTATTATTACTGTTAATATTTATAATTTCTATTTATATATTAAAATACGTATTAATAATTCTTACTATTAAATAAAGACTATATTTCTCTTTTGAGTATATTAGTCATGCTACATCTGGATCTTGAAGATAATCGATACGAGTTAAATCGATTTCATATTATTTGTAATTACTTTATGATACTTTTAATTATGCTGGGTAGAATAAAGAACGGTGAAATATGATATAGAAGTGCTCATCAACTGTAATGAAATCACTGAATTATATGTAACTATATATAAAGTGGAATGGGGGAACTGAATAGCCTTTCACGAGTCGAGAGAGAATACTCGTCAGGGCTAAATGTCTCACTTCGTCCATTTGGAAAAAAAAAATCTGCTTTTACTCCAAAATGCGTGCATATGCGTTGATGCGTGTGAGCGAGACACCTAGTCCTAAAAATCTATCTATCTCAAGCTCACTGTTCTTCGCTTATGTACGTAGCATGGCAGTTCCATCCATTCCAGTTTATATAGTTTAGTGAATAAAATACATCTTCTTTTATTTTGTTCATTATTTATTTTGTACATTATGTGATTGAAAAAATTACATAATTTATTGCAAAATATATTTGCATATATCTCTTACCGAAGCGGCACTTTGCATTGACCCTACAAATATTCCACCAAGAATCAGATGAAAACTCTTAGTACCCTTTTGCAGCAAAAAAAGTATCATTTTCTGTATATGTATTGGAGCCATGTACCAATGAACATTATATCTATGAAATAATAAATTGAAATCATTTTAATTAAATAAAAATACCAAATAATGTTTTTATTTTACACATATGCATGCACGCGATCACATGCATACACACACATGTGTACACATACAAATATTTATTATATTTCTTCATTTTTTTAAAGCATAATAAATTTTATTAGAAATATCTAATTATAACTAATTGTTATAAGTATCTGCAAAATAAATACATTTATAGATAAATTTTAAATCTTACACTGTAGCAAACACATATTCATTGTGATCCGTAATTTTTTGTGCAGTATAATTAGATAAAAACAAGTACACATAGAGGATAATTATAAGTATTAGAGGTAATATAAGTTGTCCGATGTTATCGGTAAATGACGCAATCTGAAAATTATAAAAACATTATAAATGTTAATGCTTATCATTGATTTATTACGCATCACATTGTTCTATATATACTGTAAAATCAATTGATACAAAATATATATATGACAATGTGTCGCAATCTACTGTAATACGTAATTTTGAATTTTGTATTAATTTTTTTTAAATGGAGCCCAAAAATCAAATGAAGATTCAATTTATACTTGTAAGAGAATGTAAACATAGAATTAATTAGATTTTCGAACAATCGTTTATGTCGCTAGAAAACTATTTCATTATTTATATACATCTTTGAAGATTTTTTGTTAACTAATTATTTCACGCGTAGCAATGCTTATTCAGGAATTTGTTCCAAAATTTACCCGAAGAAGATTACAGCTCGCAGAAATTGTACCAGCCGCTATCAAGAAAACAAACGATCCCTCAAAATTGGTTATTAAAAAGTTGCTTAGCCTTTAAATATAAAAATGTATATATCATAATATGCATAAAATGCTTAATATTAATATGATAATAATATGAACTTTATAGCGTTGCTATGAATGTTTACAGCACGAATTATATCCTTACAACTTTTTTGCGTATTTTTTAAATCACTATTTCGTGAGATATCAAGTGCCAGCTTGATACGGTAACTACAAATAATTTTATTGCTATAATTGTATTGTTTGTCTAAAAATATCAAAAATTAAATTACGTCCATTTTTGCTTTCTTTACTTACCAGGCGATACTAAGCATTGCACAAGTATGTTGAAGATATGTTATGAGCATAGTTCCTGTCGCTACCATTGCCAATAAGCCTATTAAACATGCTACATGTCTATGCACCGTAATTAAGTAAGAATATTTTTCTTCATCAATAAAATATTCTGTCATAATGTATGACGAAGAATGTGATCGAGAATTGTTGAGGATCACAATATAACAAACATACGGGCAAATATACAGCAAAACAAAAGTAAATTGACCGCATATGCCAAGTACTAAAAAAGGTTTCAAAATCATCACATAAATCAATACATATAATACCTCTTAACGTTTTAAAATTTCTCAACTGTAATGTTTCAAAATATCTCAATTGCAATTTACTTATTTGACTGTAAGAAGATATATAAATTGGGATAAAAGGAAGACGAAGAATGTGATCAAGAAATGTTATCTTACATAAAAGTCCAATCGTCATATGCTTAGCTTTCTTTCCATACTTTTCTATGATAGCGATTTCATTTTGGTCTTTTATCTCATTACATATATTTTTAAGTTGCTCCAGCGCACTTCTTAACTATAATATTGATAATATTGTCCTTTTTCTACATAACTATAATATAATATAACTATAATATAACTATAATATTAACAATATGTCCTTTTTCTTTGCAACATTCGAAAATGATATGATTTCGTCCATATCTTTTTTGATTGAATATATAGTAGGTTTTTTATTTTATATGTTCCTTTAGTTATATCATTATTAGATCAAAGACAGAAAGAAAACGTTAAAAAAAATAAACATAATCGGTCGAAATTAACGAATATGGAAGTCTGTATATTGTATTTAAAGATACGCTTATTGGTAATAAATAATGATTTACTTGCTTACAATATCGGTATTAATCCAAAACGAATTGTATTTAATTGCAAGACAAGTGAAAAAGAATGCAGAAGATAAAACTTTATAGATTAGATCCACAGTACATTCCGATGTTATAAACGTTGTTAACTGAAAATAATAATGTTAATCACGCTGTATTGGAGAAGCTGCATTATTCGGCATTATTACATAGATTATAAATTCTCTACTTTTCGTTAATTCTATTACATGATTTTGCAAGAGAGATATATAATAAACAAATTTTATTGAATTGTAATGTAATAATTATTACTAAAAAAATTATTATGCAAGAAAATTATATTTAAGTCAGTCAATGACAATTAAAATAATGCATTGTTCTTTTTTATGTCAATATAATACAATTCGGTAATATGTAAAATAATATATAAACTTCGTCATACCTGAAATACAATGAAAGATATCAGAGTACCTAGAAGTAAAATTAATTGAAGTTCAGTTAAAGGCGATCTTTGATAAGGTCACAAACCAATGCTAAGCAACAGAATTCGATTGATGTTAAAATATTGAGTCTCGATACTGATCATCTTTACGTGACTGTTGACAGAAATTTGACGGAAAAACAGTAGACATAAATCCCCCTCTCTTCATTTATCGATCGCTTTATGCATGGTTTTTTCCTTATAATGTAAATTATATAGTAATTCATATAATTTGATAAATAGGAAATATATTGAATAATACATGAAGACTGCATAACATAATGGGCAAAATTAGGCAATTACATAATTTGAGAAATTTTCTTAGATAGAAGTTCATAAATAAACAATCGGTTTCATATTCAAAGCATTTAATAGATAATATTTTCGTAGAAAAACATTGGTGAGAAAACTCTTTCGCATAAAAGTCGCGCAGTCGCAATCTCTATGTTTCGCGCACAACATCGTATCTCTGATTTATTCTATTTACTTGCTTAAATTGTGCCTCATATCAGCATGTTTAAATTCATCCTATCAGAACATGTTATTTTTCTGAATGTTATTTTACTTATTTTATATTATTTGTTATTATATTATTTGCTTTTTGTTTAATCTCTCGTATTTTTTAATATTTTATATTCTCTAATAACTTTCTTTACTTTGTAGCTTATGATGTTTGCAAAATAATATATATTTAAATATTTGTTTCCACTATATATTTTTAATATGTATATATTTAAAGATACATAGAATTCGATGTGTGCAATATACATATCACATTAACAAAAACAAGTTCGAGATAATGCATATAACAAAAGATTTGAAAATCTTATACTTTATTAATTTCTTATATTCTTAATTTTTTGTTTGTTGTTAATTTCCAATAATATTCACATTAAGCGAATTAATAATATTACATAAATTAATATCGTTTGTCTTACATTATTTATAGATTATATGTTTTCAAACATTTTGACAATGAAGACTTTTGATCATCACTTTACTAACATATTTTAATTTAACCAGTTTGAACAAGTCACTTTTACATTCAAAATGAACGGGAAACTTTATAAAAAATTATTTTTAAATGATATCATTAAAGATTCTTAGACATTAGAAACTCTTAAACTTGAAATAATTGGGCAATGTGTACAATTAAATAACATTAAAAGTAAAATACTTTTATTAATTGCGCTTTTGTCAACAAAAGCTAATTACAGGAATATCATCTTTTATTATTCTACGTAATATTTTTCCAAATTACTATCATATTTTAATACACATTTATACTAAATTCATTATTACTACCGTTAATATTTATAATTTCTATCTATATATTAAAATACGTAATAATAATTCTCTTACTATTAAATAAAGACTACATTCCTCTTTCGAGTATATTAGTCATGCTACATCTAGATCTTGAAGATGATCGATACGAGTTCAATCGGCTTCATATTATTTGTAATTACTTTATCATACTTTTAATTATGCTGGGTAGAATAAAGAACGGTGAAATATGATATGGAAGTGCTCGTCAACTGTAATGAAATCACTGAACTATATGTAACTATATATAAAGTGGAATGGGGGAATTGAATAGCCTTTCACGAGTGAGAGAGAATACTCGTCAGGGCTAAATGTCTCACTTCGTCCATTTAGAAAAAAAATCTGCTTGTACTGTCCAAAATGCGTGCATATGCGTCGATGCGTGTGAACGAGACACCTAGTCCTAAAAATCTATCTATCTCAAGCTCACTGTTGTTCGCTTATGTACGTAGCATGGCAATTCCATTCATTCCAGTTTATATATAGTTTTGTGAATAAAATGCATCTTCTTTTGCTCATTATTTTGTTCATTATTTATATGTGATTGAAAAAATTATATAATTTATCGCAAAATATGTTTGCATATATCTCTTACCGAAGCGGCACTTTGCATTGACGCTACAAATATTCCACCAAGAATCAGATGAAAACTCTTAGTACCCTTTTGTAGTAAAAAAAGTATCATTTTCTGTGTCCGTATTGGAGCCATATACCAATGAACATTATATCTACGAAATAATAAATTAATCAATTTAATTACATAAAAATTTTAAATAATATTTTTATTACACGCATGCATGTGCGCTCCCACACGCATATACACATACATGCGTACACATACAAATGTATATTAATTTATTTATTTAAAGTAATACAGTTTTATCAGAAATCTCTGTTGATAACTTATCATTGTAAGTATCTGCAAAATAAATATATTCGTATATAAATTTGAAATATTCCTTACACTGTAGCAAACACATATTCATTGTGATCTGTAATTTCTTGTGCAGTATAATTGGATAGAAACAAGTACACATAGAGGATAATTATAAATGTTAGAGATAATATAAGTTGTCCAATGTTATCGGTAAATGACACAATCTGAAAATTATAAGCACATGTTATGTGCTTATGATTGATTTCTTACGCACCACATACATATATAAAGTAAAATATTAATAGATATATAATATATATATTGTATATATATGTGTGTGTGTGTGTGTGTGTGTGTGTGTGTGTGTGTATGTATGTATGTATATGGCAATGTGTTGCAATCTACTGTAATACTTATGAATTTTGCATAATTTTTTTTAAATGGAGCACACAAATTTAAATAAAAATTCAATTTATACTTATAAGAGAATATAAGCATGCAATTAACTTTGTAAATTTTTTTAGCCAATATATTGCTAGAAAACTATTTCTTTTCGTTATACAGAAGAAAATAATTGTCAAATCAAAACTTATATACTTAAATGTGTTCATTGTTTCGTATATACGCAATCTAAAATCTTCTCAGAAAAATTTAATAATTTTAAATTTTAACAATACTATAATCTTATTTCAATATTGTAATAGTGATCTCAAGAATATATAATTATTTAATTCTACGTTAAGAAAATTATAACCTTTGATTTAAAAATGTTATTTTCTATTTAACTTTGTTTTTTTTCATTCAAGAAAATTAAATCTTAAATTATAAGAATATATTTTTCTTCATTGAATTGTATAAAATAACTTCATTCAAGTACGCAATTATATTTTTCTATAATGAACGCAATATGATCTCATTTCGATGTTAAAACTAAATATATTTTTAAAACACGAATATCCTTTTTTCTGTGTATTTATCTACATCTTTGGAAATTTTTGTTAACTAATTTAATAATTCATAATTTTACACGTAGAGCATTCCTTAGAAATTTGTTACAAAATTTACCCGAAGAAGATTACAGCTCAGGCAAACCATGCCAGCCGCTATCAAGAAAAAAAACGATCCCTCAAAATTGGTTATTAAAAAGTTGCTTAGCCTTTAAATATAAAAATGTATATATCATAATATGCATAAAATGCTTAATATTAATATGATAATAATATGAACTTTATAGCGTTGCTATGAATGTTTACAGCACGAATTATATCCTTACAACTTTTTTGCTCATTTTTTAAATCACTATTTCGTGAGATATCAAGTGCCAGCTTGATACGGTAACTACAAATAATTTTATTGCTATAATTGTATTGTTTGTCTAAAAATATCAAAAATTAAATTATGTCCATTTTTGCTTTCTTTACTTACCAGGCGATACTAAGCATTGCACAAGTATGTTGAAGATATGTTATGAGCATAGTTCCTGTCGCTACCATTGCCAATAAGCCTATTAAACATGCTACATGTCTATGCACCGTAATTAAGTAAGAATATTTTTCTTCATCAATAAAATATTCTGTCATAATGTATGACGAAGAATGTGATCGAGAATTCTTAAGGATCATAATATAACAAACATACGGGCAAATATACAGCAAAACAAAAATAAATTGAAAGCAAATGCCAAGTACTAAAAAAGGTTTCAAAATCATCACATAAATCAATACATATTATACATCTTAATATTTTAAAATTTCTCAACTGTAATGTTTCAAAATATCTCAATTGCAATTTACTTATTTGACTGAAGATATAAAATTAAGATAAAAGGGAGACAAAGAATGTGATCGAAAAATGTTATCTTACATAAAAGTCCAATCGTCATATGCTTAGCTTTCTTTCCATACTTTTCTATGATAGCGATTTCATTTTTGTCTTTTATTTCATTACATATATTTTTAAGTTGCTCCAGCGCACTTCTTAACTATAATATTGACAATATTGTCTTTTTTCTATATAACTATAAGATAATATAACTATAATATAACTATAATAGTAACAATATGTCCTTTTTCTTTGCAACATTCGAAAATGATATGATTTCGTCCATATCTTTTTTGATTGAATTTATAGTAGTTTTTTTATTTTATATGTTCCTTTAGTTATATCATTATTAGATCAAAGACAGAAAGAAAACGTTAAAAAAAATTAAGCATAATCGGTCGAAATTAACAAATATGGAAGTCTGTATATTGTATTTAAAGATACGCTTATCGGTAATGCGTAATCGTTTACTTGCTTACAATATGGGTATTAATCCAAAACGAATTGTATTTAACTGCAAGACAAGTGAAAAAGAATGCAGAAGATAAAACTTTATAGATTAGGTCCAAAGTACATTCCGATGTTATAAACGTTGTTAACTGAAAATAATAATTTTATTCACGCCGTATTGGAGAAGCTGCATTATTCGACATTATTACATAGATTATAAATTCTCTACTTTTCGTTAATTCTATTACATGATTTTGCAAGAGATATATATAATAAGCAAATTTTATTTAATTGTAATACAATAATTATTTCTAAAAAAATTATTATGCAAGATAATTATATTTAAGTCAGCCAATAACAATTAAAATAATGTATTGTTCTTTTTTACGTCAATATAATACAATTCGGTAATATATAAAATAATAAATACACTTCGCCATACCTGAAATACAATAAAAGATATCAGAGTACCTAAAAGTAAAATTAATTGAAGTTCAGTTAAAGACGACCGTTGATAAGGCCACAAACCAATGCTAAGCAACAGAATTCGATTGATGTTAAAATATTGAGTCTCGACACTGATCATCTTTACGTGACTGTCGACAGAAATTTGACGGAAAAACAGTAGACATAAATCCCCCTCTCTTCCATTATCGATCGCTTTATGCATGGTTTTTTTCTTATAATGTAAATTATATAGTAATTCATCTAATTTGATAAATAGGAAATATATTGAATAATACATGAAGGATGCATAACATAATGAGCAAAATTAGGCAATTACATAATTTGAGAAATTTTCTTAGATAGAAATTCATAAATAAACAATTGGTTTCATATTTAAAGTATTTAACAGATAATATTTTCAGGGAAAAACATTCGTGAGAAAACTCTTTCACATAAAAGTGGCGCAGTCGCAATCTCTACCTTTCGCGCACAACATCGTATCTCTGATTCATTCTATTTACTCGCTTAAATTGTGCATCATATCAGCATGTTGAAATTTATCCTATCAGAACATGTTATTTTTCTGAATGTTACTTTACTTATTTTATGTTATTTGTTATTATATTATTTGCTTTTTGTTTAAACTCTCGTATTCTTTAATATTTTATATTCTCTAATAACTTTCTTTACTTTGTAGCTTATGATGTTTGCAAAATAATATATGTTTAAATATTTGTTTCTACTAATATATATTTTTAAAATGTATATTTTTAAAATGTATATATTTAAAGATACGTAGAATTCGATGTATGCAATATACATATTACATTAAGAAAAACAAGTTCGAGATAATGCATAAAACAAAAGATTTGTAAATCTTATACATTATTAATGTCTTATATTCTTAATTTCTTGTATGTTGTTAATTTCCAATAATATTCACTTTAAGCGAATTAATACTATTACATAAATTAATATCGTTTGTCTTACATTATTTATAGATTATATGTTTTCAAACATTTTCACAATGAAGACTTTTGATTATTATTTTAACTAATATATATTTTAAATAATATATATTTTATATAATAATATATATTTTAATAATATATATTTTAAATAATATATATTTTATATAATATATATTTTAAATAATATATTTTAATTTTAACCAATTTGAACAAATCACTTTTGCATTCAAAATGAACGGGAAACTTTATAAAAAATTATTTTTAAATGATATCATTAAAGATTCTTAGACATTAGAAACTCTTAAACTTGAAATAATTGGGCAATGTGTACAATTAAATAACATTAAAAGTAAAATACTTTTATTATTTGCGCTTTTGTCAACAAAAGCTAATTACAGGAATATCATCTTTTTTTATTCTACGTAATATTTTTCCAAATCAATATCATATTTTAATACACATTTATACTAAATTCATTATTACTACCTATTAATTTTTATCATTTCTATCTATATATTAAAATATGTAATAATAATTCTTACTATTAAATAAAGACTATATTTCTCTTTCGAGTATATTAATCATGCTACATCTGGATCTTGAAGATAATCGATACAAGTTCAATCGGCTTCATATTATTTGTAATTGCTTTATCATACTTTTAATTATGCTGGGTAGAATAAAGAACGGTGAAATATGATATGGAAGTGCTCGTCAACTGTAATGAAATCACTGAACTATATGTAACTATATATAAAGTGGAATGGGGGAACTGAAGTCTTTCACGAGTCGAGAGAGAATACTCGTCAGGGCTAAATGTCTCACTTCGTCCGATTTGGAAAAAAAGTCTGCTTTTACTGTTCAAAATGCGTGCATATGCGTCGATGCGTGTGAGCGAGACACCTAGTCCTGAAAATCTATCTATCTCAAGCTCACTGTTGTTCGCTTACGTAGCATGGCAGTTCCATCCATTCCAGTTTATATATAGTTTAGTGAATAAAATGCATCTTCTTTTATTTTGTTCATTATTTATATGTGTTTGAAAAAATTATATAATATATCTCTCACCGAAGCGGCACTTTGCATTGACGCTACAAATATTCCACCAAGAATCAGATGAAAACTCTTAGTACCCTTTTGTAGTAAAAAAAGTATCATTTTCTGTGTCCGTATTGGAGCCATATACCAATGAACATTATATCTATGAAATAATAAATTGATCATTTTAAATAGATAAAAATTTCAAATAATTTTTTTATTACACGCATGCGCGCGCCCACACGCATATACACACACATGCGTACACATACAAATGTATATTTATTCATTTCTTTAAAGCATATCAGTTTTATTAGAAATCTCTGATAACTTATCATTGTAAGTATATCTGCAAAATAAATATATTCGTATATAAATTTGAAATATTCCTTACACTGTAGTAAACACATATTCATTGTGATCTGTAATTTCTTGTGCAGTATAATTGGATAAAAACAAGTACACATAGAGGATAATTATAAGTGTTAGAGATAATATAAGTTGTCCGATGTTATCGGTAAATGACGCAATCTGAAAATTATAAGCACATGTTATGTGCTTATCATTGATTTCTTACGCACCACATACATACATATAGTAAAATATTAATAGATATATAATATATATATTGTGTATATATATATATATATATATATATATATATATATGTATGTATATGGCAATGTGTTGCAATCTACTGTAATACTTATGAATTTTGCATAATTTTTTTTAAATGGAGCACACAAATTTAAATAAAAATTCAATTTATACTTGTAAGAGAATATAAGCATGCAATTAACTTTGTAAATTTTTTTAGCCAATATATTGCTAGAAAACTATTTCTTTTCGTTATACAGAAGAAAATAATTGTCAAATCAAAACTTATATACTTAAATGTGTTCATTGTTTCGTATATACGCAATCTAAAATCTTCTCAGAAAAATTTAATAATTTTAAATTTTAACAATACTATAATCTTATTTCAATATTGTAATAGTGATCTCAAGAATATATAATTATTTAATTCTACGTTAAGAAAATTATAACCTTTGATTTAAAAATGTTATTTTCTATTTAACTTTGTTTTTTTTCATTCAAGAAAATTAAATCTTAAATTATAAGAATATATTTTTCTTCATTGAATTGTATAAAATAACTTCATTCAAGTACGCAATTATATTTTTCTATAATGAACGCAATATGATCTCATTTCGATGTTAAAACTAAATATATTTTTAAAACACGAATATCCTTTTTTCTGTGTATTTATCTACATCTTTGGAAATTTTTGTTAACTAATTTAATAATTCATAATTTTACACGTAGAGCATTCCTTAGAAATTTGTTACAAAATTTACCCGAAGAAGATTACAGCTCAGGCAAACCATGCCAGCCGCTATCAAGAAAAAAAACGATCCCTCAAAATTGGTTATTAAAAAGTTGCTAAGCCTTTAAATATAAAAATGTATATATCATAATATGCATAAAATGCTTAATATTAATATGATAATAATATGAACTTTATAGCGTTGCTATGAATGTTTACAGCACGAATTATATCCTTACAACTTTTTTGCTCATTTTTTAAATCACTATTTCGTGAGATATCAAGTGCTAACTTGATACGGTAACTACAAATAATTTTATTGTTATAATTATATTGTTTGTCTAAAAATATCAAAAATTAAATTATGTCCATTTTTGCTTTCTTTACTTACCAGGCGATACTAAGCATTGCACAAGTATGTTGAAGATATGTTATGAGCATAGTTCCTGTCGCTACCATTGCCAATGAGCCTATTAAACATGCTACATGTCTATGCACCGTAATTAAGTAAGAATATTTTTCTTTATCAATGAAATATTCTGTCATAATGTATGACGAAGAATGTGATCGAGAATTGTTGAGGATCACAATATAACAAACATACGGGCAAATATACAGCAAAACAAAAATAAATTGAAAGCACATGCCGAGTACTAAAAAAGGTTTTAAAATCATCACATAAATCAATACATATAATACCTCTTAATGTTTTAAAATTTCTCAACTGTAATGTTTCAAAATATCTCAATTGCAATTTACTTATTTGACTGTAAGAAGATATAAAATTAAAATAAAAGGAAGACAAAGAATGTGATCGAGAAATGTTATCTTACATAAAAGTCCAATCGTCATATGCTTAGCTTTCTTTCCATACTTTTCTATGATAGCGATTTCATTTTTGTCTTTTATTTCCATACATATATCTTCAAGTTGCTCCAGCGCACTTCTTAACTATAATATTAACAATATTGTCCTTTTTCTATATAATTATAATATAATATAACTATAATATAACTATAATATTAACAATATGTCCTTTTCTTTGCAACATTCGAAAATGATATGATTTCGTCCATATCTTTTTTGATTGAATTTATAGTAGTTTTTTATTTTATATTTTCCTTTAGTTATATCATTATTAGATCAAAGATAGAAAGAAAATGTTAAAAAAAATAAGCATAATCGGTTGAAATTAACGAATATGGAAGTCTGTATATTGTATTTAAAGATACGCTTATCGGTAATGCATAATGGTTTACTTACAATATCGGTATTAATCCAAAACGAATTGTATTTAATTGCAAGACAAGTGAAAAAGAATGCAGAAGATAAAACTTTATAGATTAGGTCCACAGTACATTCCGATGTTATAAACGTTGTTAACTGAAAATAATAATGTTATTCACGTCGTATTGAAGAAGCTGCATTATTCGACATTATTACATAGATTATAAATTCTCTACTTTTCGTTAATTCTATTACATGATTTTGCAAGAGAGATATATAATAAACAAATTCTATTTAATTGTAATATAATAATTATTACTAAAAAAATTATTATGCAAGATAATTTTATTTAAGTCAAACAATAACAATTAAAATGATGTATTGTTCTTTTTTACGTCAATATAATACTATTCGGTAATATATAAAATAATACATAAACTGCGGCATACCTGAAATACAATAAAAGATATCAGAGTACCTAGAAGTAAAATTAATTGAAGTTCAGTTAAAGGCGACCGTTGATAAGGCCACAAACCAATGATAAGTAACAGAATTCGATTGATGTGAAAATGTTGAGTCTCGAGATTGATCATCTTTCAGTGACTGTCGACAGAAATTTGACGGAAAAACAGTAGACATAAATCCCCCTCTCTTCAATTATCGATCGCTTTATGCATGGTTTTTTTCTTAAAATGTAAATTATATAGTAATTCATCTAATTTGATAAATAGGAAATATATTGAATAATGCATGAAGGCTGCATAACATAATGGGCAAAATTAGGCAATTACATAATTAGAGAAGTTTTCTTAGATAGAAATTCATAAATAAACAATCGGTTTCATATTCAAAGCGTTTAACAGATGATATTTTCATAGAAAAACATTGGTGAGAAAACTTTTTCGCATAAAAGTCGCGCAGTCGCAATCTTTATCTTTCGCGCACAACATCGTATCTCTGATTTATTCTATTTACTCGCTTAAATTGTGCATCATATCAACATGTCGATGTATTTAAATTCATCCTGTCAGAACATGTTATTTTTCTGAATGTTATTTTACTTATTTTATATGCTTTTTATTTTATATACTTATTGTAGTTTAAATTCTCGAATTCTTTAATATTTTATATTCTCTAATAACTCTCTTTATTTTATAGCTGATGACATTTGCAAAAAATATATTAAACTAAAAATATGTTTAAAAAAATATATTATTTAAATATTTGTTTCCACTAATATATATTTTTAAAATGTATATATTTAAAGATACATAGAATTCGATGTATGCAATATACATTTTACATTAAAAAAAACAAGTTCGAGATAATGCATAAAACAAAAGATTTGAAAATCTTATACTGATATATGAATTTCTTATATTCTTAATTTCTTGTATGTTGTTAATTTCCAATAATATTCACTTTAAGCGAATTAATACTATTACATAAATTAATATCGTATTAATATTGTATATAATATCGTTTGTCTTACATTATTTATAGATTATATGTTTTGAAATATTTTGACAATGAAGAGTTTTGATCATCACTTTAACTAATATATTTTAATTTTAACCTATTTGAACAAGTCACTTTTACATTCAAAATGAACGGGATACTTTATAAAAAATTATTTTTAAATGATATCATTAAAGATTCTTAGACATTAGAAACTCTTAAACTTGAAATAACTGGGCAATGTGTACAATTAAATAACATTTGAAATAAAATACAGTTAATAATTGCTCTTTTGTCTACAAAAGCTACTAAGGAACATCATCTTCTTTTATTCTACATAATTTTTCTTCAAATTTATATCATATTAACACTTACATCTAAGATTACATCTCTTTTTTCTACCTTTAAATCAAACAATTTTTGTCTAAAACATCTTTTGCAATAATGTGTATTTCGAAAGATATGTAACAATTTGTAATATTTTGAATGCTCCATCTTGTGTGTGTGTGTGTGTGTGTGTGTGTGTATTTACAAAAAATATTTGCACGAATATTTAAATTCTTGACAATATAAAAAAATCGAGATCTGTAGAATGAGACATGCGAAAATCTCATTTTAATGTTTTCCAATGACATTCACTTTAAACTATGCTATCATATATAGATTTGATTTTTAAACTTCTTGCTCATGAAAATTTTTCTCCACCTTAATCTTTATATTTAAAATATATGAGATTCTTTAAAATAAATAAATTTCAATTAATATCATATTTCAGACTGCTTTTTTTTGGAAATCATTTGAAATAACTAGGCAATATAATATAAAATATAATTAAATAAAAAATACAATTATTAATTGCGCTTTCATCAACAATAGATAGTAATGATAAAAATTAACATTATTTTGCATTTTATATCATTTTTCTAATCTTATATCACTACATTTTTTTCAACATTTAAACTACATTTTATATAATTTTTCTAAAGTTATATCATTATATATTTTTTACAAATTTATACTACATTTTACTAAAATAATAATAAATAAAAATATAAATAAATATAAATATAATAATAAAACATAAATATAATTTTTTTAAATTATATTATAACATATTTTTATACATTTATATTACATTTAAAGTTGTTGAATTCTACGATTTTTGTATACATACAATCCCTGTACATTAAAATATAACAATAATTCTTTTAGAGGTTTTTATTTTTTATCTTCTATTATTTATATATTTTGTTTTTTATGAAAACTATAATAATGCTACATTTTAAGAGAACAATTAGTCTATATTTGTCCATCTTATATGTATATAAAATGAGATTTTACAATACTTTTAAACTTGCCGGGTAGAATAAAGAACAGTGAAGTACGATATGGAAGTACTTGCTATCTGCAATGAAACGAGTTTTATTTTGATTTGTTCACTTATTACATATCAATGAAAAAATTGTAACACATTACATGTGTGCGATATATTTGCACATTTCTTACCGAAGCAGCATTTTGCATAGACGCTACAAATATTCCACCGAGAATCAGATAAAAACTTTTAGTACCTTTTTGTAGTAGAAATTGTATCATTTTCTGTATACGTATTGGAGCCATGTACCAACGGACATTATATCTACAAAAGAATTGAATATATTTCAATTAAATAAAAATTCTTTTATTATATGTATGAATGCACGCGCCTACATACACAAATATATGCATGCACATGTATATTCATTTTTCTGTATATTCATTTTTATGTTCAAAGCGTATTAATTCTATCAGAAATTTCAAATTTCAGTATATAAGTATTTGCAAAACAAATATATTAATGTGAAACTTTTGAAAATTTTTCTTACACTGTGGCAAACACATATTCATTATGATCCGTAACTTCTTGTGCACTATAATTAGCAAGAAACAAATATATATAATGGATACTTAAATGAATGATAGATAATAGAAGTTGTCCAATGTTACCGGTAAATGACGCAATCTGAAAATTATGAAATACATCATTTGTGTTTTATCGCATCATATTGTTCTGTGCATGTTTTAAAACATGTCAGTTAGATTAAGATCCATATTAAGTAATATGTTATTATTTATTGTTTACACAATTACGAGATATTGCATAATTTCGAAAGAAGTATGCATATATCTTGCATATATGTAGTTTCTATTTGTAAAGATATAAGCATGCAATAAATTTCTTTAAATGTTTTTAAACGATATATCATTAGAAAACCATGTCGTTATGTATTTTTATCTTTGGAATTTGTTGTTGATTGATTTTGATTTTATTAATTTTAATTACAAAGTAGCGCACTAATCATTCAAGAATTTATAAATAAAATTTACCCGAAGAAGATTACAACTTAAGCAAATCACGCCAGCCGCTATCAAGAGAAAATATGATCCCACAAAATTGGATATTAAAAAATTACTAAGCCTTTATAAACATGAGAAAATATATATTATGAGAATTAAATATTTTTGTTATTATTGTAACAATAATACAAACTTCATAGCGTGACAATGAATGTTTACAGCGCGAATTATTTCCTTACAACTTTTTTGCTCATTTGCAAAACCATTTTTTTGTGACGTACCAATTGCTTGCTCGATTCGGTAACTGCAAATATAACTTTATTCATGTAATTACATTATTTGTATGTGTCTTAAAATATTATTTAATTTCTTTTACTCAGTTTTAATTTTTTTACTTACCAAGCGATACTAAATAAAGCACATGTATGTTGAAGGTATGCTAGGAGCATAGTTCCTGTCGCTGCCATTGCTATTATGCCTATGAAACATGCTGCATGTCTATGCAGTGTAATTAAATAGGAATATTTTTCTTGATCAATAAAATATTCTATCATAATATATGGCGAAGAACGTAATCGAGATTTACTTGTTAGAACCAAAATGTACGGCCACATATATAGCAAAATAAATGTACATTGATATCCTATGACAAGTACTAAGAAAAGTTTCAAAAAATAGTCATATAAATTAATTAATACATTATTCCTTAATTTTTAAATTATCTTACAATTGCAAATATTTATTTCAATGCAAAGAGATATTTAAAAATAAATGAAAGCTCGAGAAACAATATCTTACATATAATTCTAAATGTAAAACGTTTCGCTTTGCTTCCATATTTTTCTATGATAGCGATTTCATTTTTGTCCTTTATTTCGTTATATATATCTTGAAGTTGCTTCAGCGAACTCCTTAACTATTACGTTAACAATATTGTATGTCGTTTCTGTTTGCAACTTTTGAAAATAATTTTAATTGGATTTCCGCATTCTTTCTTGATTGAATTCAAAATAGATTGTCTACTTAATATTTTTTTTGAACTATATTATGATAAGAAAGAAAAAGAGAGAGAGAGAGAGAGAGAGAGAGAGAGAGAGAGAGAGGGAAAGAGAGTGAGAAAGAGAGAAAGACGAAGAATAAGAAAGTAATGAATATTAAGAAAATATAAATTATATCGACCGAGAGTAATGAATATGGAAATCCATATAAATGTATTGCATTCGAAGATACATTTATCAGTGATGGTTTACACGCTTACAATATCGGCATTAATCCAAAATGAATTATATTTGATTGCAAAACAAATGAAAAAGAATGCAGAAGATAAAACTTTATAGATTAGGTCCAAAGTACATTCCGATGTTATAAATGTTGTGAACTGAAAATAATAATGTTATTCGTCATATTGAAAAAAGCTGCATTATTCGACATTATTAGATTATAAATTCTGAATTTTTTGTTAATTTTATTACGTAATTTTACAAGAAAGATATATAATAAGCAATTTCATATAATTGTAATATAATAATTATATATATATATATATATATATATATATATATATTAATATAATTAATATAAATAATATTTAAATCGGGCAATAAAATTAAAATAATGTATTGATTCTCTTTTACGACAATGTAATACGATTTTGTAATATATAAAATAAAATGTAAATTTGGACATACCTGAAATACAATAAAAGATATCAGAATACCAAAAAGTAAAATTAATTGAAGTTCGATTAGAAGCGACCGTTGATAAGGCCACAAACCAATGATAAGCAACAGAATTCGATTGATGTTAAAATGTTGAGTCTCGAGACTGATCATTTTTCCGTGACTGTCGATTCAAGTTTGACGGAAAATTAGTAGACGCAAATCCCTCTCTTTTCGATTCATCGATTATTTCATGCATGGTTTTCTTCTCTTATACTGTAAATTTTACAGTAATCATCTAATTCGATAAATAGGAAGTTTTGAATAATGCATAGAAGAACTTTACAAAATTGTGCACAAAATTGGGCAATTACGTAATTATGTAATTTAAGAAATTTTCTTAAGTGCAAATTTATAAATAAGCAATCAATTTCACATTGAAAGCAATTTGACAAATGTTATTTTCTCACGGAAAAACATTCATGAGAGAACTTTTTTATACAATACTGCGCTTTTCGCGCAGTCGCAATCCTTACTTTTCGATGTCTGTTTCATTCTATTGCATTCATTGCTAAAAAAACACTCAACTAACAATAAGTTGTGCTCAATATCAGCATGTGAGTATTTTTTAATTGGTACTACCAAAATATATTATTATTCATTGCATGTTGTTTTGTTATGTACTTTCTCTTTATTGTGTAATTTCTTTTATATATTCTCTGATATTTTATATTTTCTAATTTTCTTAATTTTCTAGCTGACGCCACTTGCTATTAACAAGTTTAAATATTTATTTCCATTAAAATATTTCTTTAAATCATTTATATTTAAAGATGCATCATTCGATGTATATATATATATGTCGAATTAGGCAAAAAAGTATAATCTATAAAAATTTAAATAATTATATTCATTTTAATTATTATCATCGCATTTCTATTAATTTGTGCAATTCCATTATATTATTTTATCTATTTTAATATATCCGTATATGTATATATATCGCATATATACTGTTGATTTTATATAATATTAGTTCATCGATATCATATGTTATTGTTTCGTGGAATAAAGAAATGTAAAGTACGAAACTGACGTGCTGACCAACTGAAATAAAAGATATTTTCTTTAAATAAAGTGTGTGATGTTTGAAATAAAGTGAAATGTTGAATAAACTCTGATAAAATTTTCACCGTGGCAAAGCCTTCTAAGGATCCTATAAATAATCCACCAATAATTACTAGGTTTTCAAAAGTCTTAGTTCCTCTTTGTAACAGAAATAGTATCAGCTTTTGTATATGTAAGGGAGCTATATACCATTGAACATTGTACCTACGAAACGATGATCAAACAGCTGACTGATGATTTTTCACAGGAGAGAGAGAGAGAGAAAGAGAGAGAGAGAGAGAGAAAGAGAACATAAAACTAATAATTTTTAGAATACGCATATTTGTTTAAGAAAGCATTTTAATTTTTGCTTTTTGTGAATTTTATTTTGTATATTGCCTTATTCTTTTATCATAATTATTTTAATTCGTGATTATCACATCAAAAAGTTTTTCTTACACAGTAGCAAATATATGATTATTATGATCCATAATTTGTTGCGCACAATAGTTGGCGACGAAAGTATATATATAGTAGATTGTCAAAAAAATAGAATGTTGTATAATTTTTGCGACAGAACATTCAAATGACAATTCCTGAAAAATCTAATATGCGAGTTTTAGACAATAGCATAATCAATTTTTTATGTATATTTCAATGATTCCATATTTTGTAAATTGAATAACACCGATCAGATATGATTCATTCGAATTAGTTAAGAAAAATAAACCACTACATATCTTGTTACGAAATGATGTACAATTGCACACTTTTGATTAAAAAATACATGTACGAAGGAAAGAACTTACTTGATAAAGATTGAGACTTGCTGTAAGTAAACCGTCCATTATAAGGAAGAACAAAAATTTATTAATCGAGAAAATAAAAATTTTTATAAACCTTCAACAGAAAATATAAAAAATATTATTTGCATTTATACAATTATTTATCGTAATACATAAAAATCAATTTAATGATAAATATTTTTAATTCAATAAAATTCATTTTAGAGCATGGTATTGATTTTACACTTCTTTGACATTTTTTTTTGTATATAGTATACAGGATGTTTGACGTAACAAGGCCCATCAAAAAAACACAAGCAGATGTCGTTAAACTGAATTAAAAAGTCCCACACCATTTTGCAAACAATCACATAAAATTTTGAGATATTAAAGAATAAGCTTTTAATTAAAAATGTTTTAAAGTTTAAAAATTTTACGTTAAATTAAATGAATAAAATTTTTATAATATTACTTTGTATCAAAACTATTAAATTTTTAATCGTTTTTAGCAATTAAAATGATATAATGATGAAATAAAATGATTAATATGATATAATATTTGAGATTTGACATTTTTGCCAAAAAAAATTTCCAAAAAATTTACATTAAAGTGAATCCTATACTTATTATGTTATTTTCCATACATCCAATGAATACAAACTTTATAGCTTTGCGATGCATATCCACAGCATACACAATACCCATGTAAATTAAATTTGCACTTTTTGGAGCGCTTATTGATCGAGTATCGACTTTCATGATCCTCTCCATACGATAACTGTAAATAATTTATGTTAATAATTTTATAATTGTCGTATACGATACGTTATCACATAATAATCTCTCATATAAATCTCTATATGAATTTAATATAATTTTATCGAACTTTATCCGAAGTAACGAATCTTTCAGATTTGTTTGTATACAAATTTTCGTAACCATTACTACATTAATTTTCTCACCTAGCAATCCTTAACATTCCACAAATATGTTGAACATACGTTATGCACATTGTTCCCGTCGCTAACAATGCTAGTATTCCTATGCAAAATGCTATATTGGTATATAACATAATTAAGTAAAAATATCTTTCTTGATCAATAGAATAGTCCGTGACGATTTGTAGCGAAATGTGTAGCCGCGACTCGTTCCCAGACAACACAGCGGCGAAAATTTGCGGTAGAAATGGAGAAAGAATAAAGGCAATTATGCAAGACGCAGCAAGCACTAAATGATGATGTAAAAACCATAATATTTACTTATCAATATATTTTAAAAATTGATAACTATTTTACGTCATATATAATTTATATCATCTTTACCGATGTGAATCTGGCACCTAAATTAATAAAAATTTAAAAAAATTAATACAGTTCGTTTGTACCTCGTTTGTACCTGTTTGTACCGTACTTTATTTCGTTTGTACCTCAAAGAGCAGAAAAATAAAAATTAATTAAAAAATGGTCAGCGCCCAACTTAAAGATATTTTAATTTCATTAACGCCATTCGATAGAGAATCGTTTGTACCGGTGTTTCAAAAATCGACCAAGAGGTAGTTTCGCCATTTTTCGAGATATCGAAAAATGGCCGACGATATTCGATAGAGAATCTTTTGTAACCGTTTGTACCTCTCTTCAAATCGTTTATACCTTTAAAGAAACCGGAAATATAGGTGTTTCAAAAATCGACCAAGAGGTAGTTTCGCCATTTTTCCAGATATTGAAAAACGGCCGAAGGTATTCGATAGAGAATCGTTTGTATCCGTTTGTACCTCTCTTCAAATCGTTTGTACCTCAAAGGAACCGGAAGTGCAGGTACTCAAAAAATGACGAAAGTACTTCTTGGTCGATTTTTGAAACACCTGTACTTTCGATTCCTTTGAGGTACAAACGATTTGAAGGGAGGTACAAACGGGTACAAACGATTCTCTATCGAATGCTGTAGGTTGTTTTTCGATATCTCGAAAAATGGCGAAACTACCTCTTGGTCGATTTTTGAAACACCTGTACTTCCGGTTCCTTTGAGGTACAAACGAAATGAAAAGAGATATATACAGGCACAAACGATTCTCTATCGAATGGCGTTAATAAAATTAAAATATCTTTAAATTGAGCGCTGACTATTTTTTAATCAATTTTTATTTTTTTGCTCTTTGAAGTACAAACGAAATAAAGTGCGGTACAAACAGGTACAAACGAGGTACAAACGAACTGTATTAATTTTTTTAAATTTTCATTAAGTTAGGCTCTAGGTTCATATCGGTATTATCTTTAACTATCCAATTATGATACAAGGTTAATCGAGAAAGTAAAAACTTATCAAAAGCTCTTTCAAGCAAATAAAATTATAAGTCTTACGTGTAAGCATTTCAGTGTAACGTCTTCCAATATTCCAATATTTTTCTATAATGGCAACTTCACTTTCATCCCTTAGCTCGTTATAGGTACATTGAAGTAGGATAAATAAATGTTTCACCTATCATTTCAACGAAATTTTTCTACTACATGTGTTTTCTCAGGCATAACAAATATTGCGATATACAGGATTCTTAATAAGTGCGACAAATTTTAGGAGATAATTCTTTGTCAAAAATTAAGAGGGATTTTTGATATAAACATATACTCGTGCATCCTCCCTGTGGAGTTACACTCCTCCAAAAATGGAGATAAAAATTAGGTTTTTATTTTTTTTCTCAAATTTAGAATAAGTTAGTTTGGAATAAGTATTTGAATTTAGGTGGATATTTTCTACTAGTAAAAAGGTTATTTATTAATATTTTCTTTAGCCTCTCATATTGTTATAAGGGGATGAAACTAGCAACTCCTATTCAATTTTTTATTAGAACTTTTTAATGTTAATTTTTTAATAAAAAACTCCCCTTAATTTTCGACAATGAATCATCTTCTGAAACTTTTCCACTTATTAGAAACATCTTGTATATGACACATTTGTTCAATCAAGTAGAAAAAAATTCATATTATTCACTTACGACATCCATGTTAAAGGACAGTTTGCTGTATTGTATAATATAGAAAATGAATAAAGATGTGACAGAAAGAATTTTGATGGCATATTGTAGAGTGTATCTTGAAGTCACAAATATCATAAGCTGTGAGAAACAATTTTGTTGAATTACTCGCATCAAATAAGTAACACGTTTCTATCTTATCTCAACGAACAGAAATATCTAAATTATAAATTGCCATCTTCCATGAGCTGCGCAAAAAATACGTAACACATACACACAAAATTATGTAATAATGCAATTACATTTTGCCGTTTGTCCAGCTCATATATGTATAGATAATAATAATTTAGATTTTCTTGTTTGTTGATAAGATAGAAAAGTATTATAATTTTATACACACACACACACACACACACACACACACACACACACACACACACACACACACACACACACACACACACACACACACACACACACACACACACACATATATATATATATATATGTATGTATGTGTGTGTGTGTGTGTGTGTGTGTATGTATGTGTGATTACATATAATTATGTATATATCTCTAACCTATAATTATATACCTGTAACAGTATCAATAAAAGTAATAGTAAAAATAATTTCCCTTAAGTAGCAAAAATAATAGAAAGTATTATTGTAATATATGTAGCATCATAAACACAAATACATACCAAATCACAAATGCCACAGTTAAATAAATACATACCAGGTTACACGTAACAATATGTATGTTAGCTTATAAAACCTATATAATATGAATAATACATAATTATGTAAAATTATTGATGTACTTGAAATACAATGAAGCTTGTCAGAATGCCATAGAGTAAAATCAGTTGCGTTCGAACGAGTTTGGATTGTGCGTAAGGCCATAAGCCAACCGTAAGTAAGAGAATTCGATTGATGTTAAAATACCGACTTTCCACGCAGATCATCTCTTCGAGAGCGTTGAGATGCATATGACTGCGAAAAAGTCCCTGACATTCCATTCATCCCCTTCTTCGACGGATCGATTGAGTGTTTCTTCTTTTTTACGAAAATTTTATCGTAAAATTGGTATTAAGCGCTAGAAAACATTTGACTCCCCACATTGGCAATTTAATAACGTTTCTCGTGAAAATTGTCCACGATTAAATAATCGATAGGATATTTAAAGTTATTTCGAAGCAATTTAACGGATGTCGTTTCCCAACAAAAAGGGGAAAAAGCATTCGTGAAAGAAAAAAGTATTACGCAGGCGCACTTCTTTTTTCTCGATGTCGCAATGTCACTTTCGTACACGCACTCATAAGGTATGGTTGATCTTTGAAAAGATCGTCTCTCAATTGGAAATATCTATTAAACTTATCGCTCATCAGGTACGTAACATTATTTTATCATTTTCCAAGTGTTTTAGTCTGTATGTTTACATAAATTCTTATTATGTTTTATTATCAAAATGCTTAAATTTAAAAATTTAAGAACGTTAATATTAATAACAAATTAGTTAAAAGTAATAATTAATACATGTCTGATGCTATATAAATCGCATGTACGAAGAAGCGAAATAATTAAAGACAATGTAACGTTAATTAAATGTTAATTAACACATAATATATGTATATAATAGCTACTTTTATGGCACTTATTTCAGAAGAATCTTCTCTTTTAAGTGAATAAGACATTTAAATTCATATATAAAAATAATATAAGAAGTTCTTATTGAAACAGCTTTATTTTTTAATTTAGATATTTCTTCTTTTTATTTAGATATTTCTTTTTTACATAGATGATATAAAAAAATGAAGTAATAAAAAAAGTTTGACAATATACATTTACAATGTAAAATATTTATTTAAAAGTAATGTAATAATGCATGTACTGCAAGTAGAGAAAATAGAACTTGAGTAAAATAAAATGAATTTGTATCAATGTTTTATACTTAAAATAAAATTATGCTTACACAGTTTTTTCTGAACTAAAAAATTTATGTAATCTATGTAAAATTTTATATAATCTATGTAGTCGGTATAATTTATATAATTTATATAATTTATGTAACGTATGTAATGTATGTAATGTATGTAATCTATGTAACATATATAATCTATGAAATCTATGGAATCTATCTCTTTTTGTTTTTTATTAATTAAATATATTTATATCTTTGGAGATCGCTTTAGATACAAATTATAGGATTAAATATTAACTATTTCATATATAATATTAAAAAATTGTAACATTGAGATTTGATTAATTAAATTGATGTCAGATTGAAATTTATTCGTTATTATTTCTCTTCTTTCCTTATTATTGCGTCGAATATATGACGGTAAAATATGAGACCGAAGTTTTCACCAACTGTAATGTTTACTTGTAATATTTAAATGCATTCTGAGATATATTAATTTTCTTACCGTGGCAAAACACTCTAATGATCCGATAAATAATCCACCGACCCCTAAAGTAAAATCTTTGGCATCTTTTAACAACAAAAATAGCATCAGTTTCTGTACATATAACGGAGCTATGTACCACTGAACGTCATATCTACAAAATTAATACGAATAAAATATTTATAATTGTATATAATAAGCTATGGTATGCACGTGCAGCATAATCTTTATAAAGTACTATAACCTGTGCTTTTGATATAATAATTTATAAAACTGATTCTATACTAACTAAATAAATAACTAAATTTTACTAATAACTAAATTTTATAAGATTTTAAATTTTAAATTTTATACATCTTACATGGTAACAGCTACAAGATTATTATGATCCGTTAAATTTTGTGCGATATAATTGGCGCAGAACATGTATAAAATACTAATAAATGCAAGCAAGGAAGGAAAAAAAATTTCATCGACATTATATGCGATCGAAGCAACCCGAAAAATCTAAAAAATAAAGTTTAGTACCTAAAGTCACTTTAGCAGCTCTTTTAGTAGCTGTTACAGATAACCAGTTTTCTAGATATAGATTTCTAAATCATTCTACGATATACATATATTAATTTTCTAAATAAATTAGTGAAAATATTATATAGTAAAATAAATATAATACAGTAAATTTATATAATAAATCATGCCCAGGAAATTTGCATAGAAATTGTCAGTTTGGAGTGATTTTTATCGCATTAATTTATTTTGTTTACAAAAATATAAAGAGCAGTATTAGTGAACTAAAAATAACAGTGTTAAAAAGAAAAAAAGAAAGAGGTGAGATGTACACATATCTCCCTCACTAAACAATACATATCATATATTCTGTTATATTACAGAATATAAAAAAGTATTCATTTAACAAATTTAAAAAACTTGAAATTCGAAATATACCTGAAAAAGATTAAGGCTCAGTGATATTACTCCTACTGCTATTAAACAGAATAACATTTTTTCAAATCTGGACACCAAAGTTTTGGATAATCTTAAGACAAAGAAACATTATTAGACTATTATATACATACTATAAAATGGATACTAACTTCATAGCTTGCCGGTGTAAATCTACGGCATATCTTATTTCTTCTAATATCAACATATCATTTTTCGGACAATAATTTTGTAAAATACTTTTCCTCATTGCGTATTTGATGCGATAACTGTGAATACAATATTTATCAAGAAACATATTTATTTGTCATTGCAATATAATTTTGCACATAATTTTACATATGAAATCTACATTTATATAGAAATACAGTTTTAATTATAATCTCGATTAACGTTTCTGTTTTTTGTTTTACCTAGTGATTTTAAACAGTCCACAGATATGTATCAGATATGCAATAAGCATCGTTCCAATTGCTACTACTACAGCTATTCCTGTACAAAATGCTGCATTTAAGTGTAGCAGAATTAAAAAGAAATATTTTTCTTGATCGACGAAATATTCAGTCAAAATCGGCAAATGATGTGGTCGAGAGACATTTATCGGTAAAATAATATCAATTACATTCGACCAAAATTGTACAACAATAAGAGCAGATATACTACAAATACAAAATGCTAAAACCGTTAAAAAGTAAATATCATTTAATTTTCTGTTGCATAATGTTTGAACATTTTACATATGATACGATATTTCTGTTTTATATACTTGTAAGCATAAGCGTAACACGTTTCGCATTATAGCCATATTTTTCAACGATAGCATTTTCATATTCATCTTTTAGTTGGTCGTACACATGTTGAAGTTGTGTCAGTAAATCTTTCACCTGTTAGTCCAACAATTTGTTATACCATCTTTGAATGTCAGAAAGATTTGCTAGTTATAAAAATTTAATTGTCAGAAATGTTTCTTAAAATGAATTTTATAAACATATAGTTAACTTACAGTTTCGGTATTAATAGCGAAAAATATATATTTTATAACAAAGATAGTGAAAAAGAGAGCACTAGATAGAATCTTGACGACAAAATCAGCAGTATACTTTGAATTCAAAAATGTAGTAAACTGAAAATAATAATTTTGTAAAAACGTTTTATATTAAAGAATCTGTTCTTATTTTTACCATTAATAACTGTTAAGTCTTGCACAGTGAATTTTCAATAGTATAACGGACATTGCGAAATTATAATATTCCGTTAGAGATTATAGTAAAATTTCGCTTTGTATGATTTCGGATAAAAATATATTTAATTTTTATTTTATAATTTCATTCTAGTATTGATTTTCATATATGTTGTAATCAAAGAAATGAGAAAGTGTATTAACAATATAAAAATAAATGATATATTATTTTCAAATAAGGTATACTGATTATTTTTTTATTCCATATGGAAACAAATATATTTTAGGCATATATCATAAACTTGTCTACATTTATTGACATCAGAAATTCTGTAGAAATATAATGAATCAAGTATTCTAAATTCTAATAATTGCTTTTTCATGCATAATAAAAATATAATTTTATATTATATATAAATATATCATAATTACAATTATGTACAGGGAATGTTTCAAAATGATTGTGCTATATTAGAATAACAAAATATAAAGACTGATTGAAACCAAAAGTTTTATTATAGAAAAATATCGTGACCTAATTTCCAGACAAATGGAGACAAACTAATACAATAATATCACATACAGTTTATGCAATCAAATAATGTTAACTGAACATAATATACTTCCTAATCTGTTAATTATTTTCTCTAGTAAATTGATTTCATCTTTTCGTTCAGCTTCTTTTTCGATGTCCTGTATAAATACACTTTCCAATATAAATTATAAATGCAATTTAGAAAATTATAAATGAGAGATTGAAGTACACAGTAAATAATAAAAAATTATAAATCACTGTATATTATAGCTTATACTCATAATAATATCGAGATATTGTCTTACTTGAAATAAAACAGCAGAGATCAAAATACTAAGGAAGAAAATAAATCGAAATCGATCAAATTTTGACTGTTGATAGGGCCACAAGCCCATAACTAGCAGAAGCATTCTGTTACGACTAAAATATTGTGTTGTCACACAGATCATCTCTCTGCGAACTCTAGAATACGTATGACTGTGAAAAAATCGACGTGCGCTCCCCCCCTCCCTTTTTGCACTTATTGATTAAATATTATCGTCCACAAATTTTCTCTTTTAGTGGAAATTTTAACGCAAATTTAATATAATATCAGGTATTAAGTAAAATATCATCGTGTAATCGAAACAGATGTAATCAAATATTTCTCTGTGAATTATATGTATATACATATAATTACATAATCGATGCGACGCTGAGTAAAGTATCTCAACATATCCTTTTAATATAAATAAAACCTTTTTCATAATATAATCCTGCGCAGGCGCTGTACTCTCTTGTTAATGTCCACACTTCAGTCTAATGTTGGCGCTTATAGAATACATTTGTCCTTCAAGAGGGTTTCTCCTATATCTTCCTCTACAACTTTAAACATTTTGATGTCGGATCTATCACATGTTCATGTAACAGAATACATTAAATAATTACACGACACTTTATAAATATTTTAAATTGATGATTGACACAATTAAGATCACAGTTGTTAATACCTCCATTAAACATATTTTTATACATATAAATGATACATATACATTATCTTAAAAAATAAATTCATTGTTTTATATTACTTAAGTGATTATAAAAATTTTAATGTAAAATAACAAATTATAAGTATTTCTTTTTTTTAATTAAATAATAGAGAAGATACTAATGAGAAAACCATGAATTTATTTTTAATAATAATGTGCGTGTATTAATATAAATATTATATATTCAAAATATCAAAATTAAAAGTAAAATAACTACATAAAAATATGTGTATCATAGTTTTTATTTAAAATATATTAAGTGCAAAATTCATTTTTGAAAATATAATATCTGAATAATATCTGAATAAATTTATGTTGCGTCTCCATATTTTTTTAAACTCTAGCGAAATCTTTACTTGCTGCGAAATTGAATATCATATCTTGTCTGAAAACGAAAAGAAGATGTTATTCTTTTGTTAATTCAATTATACTATAATTGAATTTA